CCTAACCATTCTATGATTCTATGATATTTTAAGTCAGGAGCTGATTTTCTGATTAATTATTTCCACTACATGAGAAGAAATAGCCCTAGTGATGATAGATCAGTAACAAGAAAGTAATGATTTGAGTTGAGCAGCAGTTTGGTATAGTTATTAAAATATAACACAACATACTGTCAACATTGTGGAATGTGCACCAAGCTTACCTTAATGACCCTGAAACTGAGATACCGCTTATTCAGCATAATGATTTTGTATTCATTGGTGCCATCATCCATCACATGACGCAGAGCAAGGAGGGAGGGAGAATTGGAGAGAACTGCACTCCGCCAAGCAGGGTCCCCTTCATGTGCTATAACTAGATTTTCTTCATGGGTTGTTATGGCTTCATAAAGGACAGAAGGATCATCATATTCATCTGGAGAAGTGAAGTGATCCTGTTTCCAAGAACACATGTTCAGTAAGATAAGATTAACACTTCAGATTAACTACATTAAAAAAAAAAGAAACGTTTCACACCTCAAACTCTTGAAAGGCTCAGTGCATTACACAAAGGTAGACATCAAAAATATGAGATACCTATCAAAGAACATTATTAAAGATGACCTCTTTTCCCACAGATTAGTTCTGTTTGCTTATTTTTTAACTTAACACCAAACTGATTAGAAGGACCTGTCTACTATTGATTCAAATAAATTTCTAGTTGGATTTTACACTAGATTTATATTGCTTGCAAAAGCATTTTAGTTTTTACTTAAGTAAAGCACTGATTATTCACTTAGACTGTATTATATGAAAACAGCAACAGGAAGAAAACCGGAAAGGTTTATCTGTATTTTCTATTCAAAATTGCAAGTTAATACCTGATCACAGATTATTTCAGCATCAGATATTATCACACAACTTACATTACTGCCAGTCAAACAGAAATACAAACTTTGCAAGTTCAATTCAGTATTAGGTCACATGACTTTCCACTTAAGAAAGGATAGTGGTTAATAGCTAAAATTCCAACACTGGCTGAAGCCTCCATATGCTATTGCACTGCAAGTGAATAAAAATCACCTTTTATAGATTAATATGAAAATGTTTATAAAAAAACTTTTTTATTGTTAGAGTTATTTGTATTTTTCTCAGTTTTCATTCTCTGACTCAATTCAAGCTCATTCTGCACATTAATCCAAGTACACTGAGAACACTTCAGAATTGCTGAAGAGGTACGTCTACTGGGTTCAACAATTATTTTGTAATTATTCTACTCTACTAGATGTACCCTTAACATATGCATTCTCCTAAACTCAGGGAGTTCATGTTACATGAAGGAGTCGACTCAATCACTGCTAGCTCCGGGGGACTTCTAGACTCCACGATGAAGACAAAAAAAGGAACTTTATCATTCAAAAAAGTGCAACTAAGATTTGCCTGTTTACTATGATTTTCAAGCAATCTGTTTGTCTGGAGCACCAATACTTTTCCCTCCCTCACAGAGTGCTTATCACTTAGTACATGCTTCCTTGTACTTGCTGAGCTTAGTTAATAGATGTCTTGGACAGAATTTGAGATGGTTCATCTTCACCCCTCACTTGGCTATACAGACCAATCCCAACTTCAGCTTACTGAGAAGCAACCTTCTCATTCTCACCTGAAAACTTACCGATGGGATCAATGAGTAATGCCAAAGTGTCTGTTACTACAACATGCCAAAGAAAAAAGAACAAGAAAAGCAACTCCTATTGGAGGAGAGAGCTGTGCATCTTTGAACAGCATGATAACTGTTTAAGCCAATTACATACACGTGTGGAGGGGAAGAGGGAGGGCAAGCGTAAGAGGCTGACATAAGGGAATTATCTCTAGATAGATATGAAATAGGGCTTGACATGCTCTCTGGTCTGCATTTGATGTAATTTTCAAGCTCTGAGCATAAACTGCATTCCCTTTTCCACTTTCACCTTCCACATGAGCTATAACAGAACAAAGGACATGATCAGATATTCCCTCATTTTCAGCTGTCCATCTCTACCACATGCCCTTCTATTCTCTTCCTCTCTTTTCTCTCCCCCAGCTGCTTATTTTTAAAACAATGAACACCCAGAAATAAAAAAGAACTGAACACAACTTTCTGTGTAATCTCTCACCTGATGTAGCTTAAGTGACATTCGTATTCCAGGAACCACTACTTTCCTCAACAATTCCATGTCAGCAAAGATCCATTCATCTCTAATCGAAGATATACGAAAATCACCCTTAAACAGGGCATGTAGGCCATACAAGAAGGATTCCAAATTACTGTTGAGGGGGAAAAAATGAAGAAAACAGCCGAAATATTAACAGAAATACAAGCATATCCACAATTATCATCACTGACAAGAGTAGAAAATACTGACCTGTACATAAAGGCACACAATTCTTCTCTATAAAGATAACTTACAGGATAAGACAGGGAAAAGAGAACACAGGAATAAGAACATGTGTGTAAACAAAGCTTGGACACTAGATGTCTATGTGCACTGAACAGGTAATGAATTCACCATACATGCAGCAGACTATTTACACACATTAAAGTAAAAAGGAACACTTTGAGGAATGCCTGACTGGATTATGAAGATTTTTAAAGAGAAAACTTTTCAGAGAACATAACACCGCAATGGACCAGTTAAGGAGGATACACAGCTTCAGTTGCGCATGCTTTAGTACAGAATAAAAGTCTTGACAACTTCCTCATGCTTAAAGGCACTGTTCTCTTTTACTAAGCTAACTTAAGAGTGAAAAATCAAATATGCTTTGATCATGCTTGCAACTGCGTATCTACAAGACCTTCAGGGGCAATTGGCTGGTTCTTAGAGGAAATAGTCAACAGTTTCCCTAAAAGCAAAGTAGAACAGGTTTTACAGTCGGCACCCAGCTGACTAATAGTTTCCACATCTGACTATGCTGCTTTTTATTTTCTTTTTAAACCATCCCCTTGTGATTTCCTGAAACATACAACTATATTTCACATGGGCTTTCTAAAACAAGTTGAGGCTGTCAGTCTGCAAGAAAGAAGATGCCACATGATGACAGAGTTGAGCTGAATGAGATTTGTACAAAACACAACTGTTTGCGACAGAGGCAACTAAACTATGAAACTTATCGTAACAGTTTGATCTAACTTCCATCAAAACATGTGTGCTCTTTATTTTAAGAAGCTGTCCTCTTCTTCTCCCTATTTCCATATAGGGTACATACTTGGAGCAGGAAATGGAGCTTACTTCTAGAACTCAACCAGTTCTTGTTTTTTCATCAGTTGTAACTGGTCTTTACGCACACCAGAGAATTCTCACCTTGCATTAGTTCAATAGAACAAAAAGCTCAAGTTCAAGTACGCCCTCATTTGCTGGTCTTTGGTTATGTTTCACTGGCTGTTACAACATAGACAGGTACAGTTTAAGGAAAGACGACATTAAAATACCCATATTTCTTTTATGAAGACATACTCATTTAATACCTAACCTAGGAACCCAGAGGGATTTTGAGGAAGAAAAACTTGCAGCAACAATATTTTAGTATTTTATTACCTAGACATATGATGTGAAGCTGTTCCCAACGCTCTCCGTCCCAGAACACACAGTCCATAACACAATGTCACTAGGGGTGAGTCTTTACTTGAATCCAGTGGCTTGCAGTAACAAAAGAAAGATAGTCAGGTGAAAGGAGTAAAGAAATCGCCACAGAAAAAAAACCTTCTGCCAGGAGTAAAAAAGACCCAAAGCACATACTCAAGCGTGCTATGTACCTACCACACCAGTTACTCTTGCTCAGACTTCCAACAGGAATTATTTTTTAAAAGTTTTGCAAGTATCTTTAGATATAAGGAAGAAATTTTTCACTCTGAGGGTGGTGGGGCACTGGAACAGGTTGCCCAGAGAAGTTGTGGGTGCCCCATCCCCGAAGTGTTCAAGGCCAGGCTGGAGGAGGCTTTGGGCAACCTCGTGTAGTGGAGGGTTTCCCTGCCCATGGCAGGGGGGTTGGAACTAGATGATCTTTGAGGTCCCTTCCAACCCAAATCATTCTATGATTCTACGCAGAATACTTGTAAAAGCAGACACACACATACTATGTTTGAAATAATACAAATTGTTAAGCTGAACAGATGTATGCAATATTCCTCATGGATACTGTGTGTCCTGTGTGCAAACTGTTGATTAGCAAAATTATGGAGTTAAACCAAAAATATTTTTAGTGAATACAGTGGATTCTCACTTACTGGTTAGGAGTACATAATTCTGAGTTAAGCAAAAACTTTCCTGCACTACAGCTTTGTTCAGGGGAAACTCATTCTCAGCTCAAAGCCAGAAGTAGCTGTACAGGGTATATAATGCCCTAGATAACAGCATCATTCATTTAAGTGATTAAACCTGATTTTCAATACCTACACAAAATATTTCACAAGATCATGACTTGGAGGGAAACAATTTTCTTCGGCTGTTGTCATCTGGCTGCAGAACACTTTCAAAATGGGCTTCTAATCAATCTTTTACCTCTAAAGTAAAACTGAAGTCTCAGATCCTTCATTAAACACAAATTCCAATTATATTCCTGTCTCTCTAATCTCAATTAATTTCTGCTTATTTACAAAGGCAACACTACTTTGAATAGACCATATAGAGTTTTTTTTGTAAACAGAAGTCAAGGCATTCCTTTACAAACATACTAACATTTCTATTTAAAAGGTGGAAAGATTTGGATACAGGAAAAGGGTTGAATATGGGGTAATCATTTTCACAAGCCAACAATTCCAGTGGTCCAAAAGAATAGCACAGTATGGCCATTAGAAAGTAGTCAGTGTTACAAGCTGGCAACAGATATTTGGGTTTTTTTGGGGGGTTTGTTTTGTTTTGGGCTGTTTTTTTTGTTGTGTTTGAGTTGATTTGTAAACACTGACATCTAAGCACAAAACATCAATTCTATAAACACAACCTTTTGTACGTAGATAAATGTCTGATTAAAATTCAACTGATTCATTTGAGCTGGTAAAAGAAAGCTCATTAGTGAACAGATTAAATCATGCACTGCTTACAGAATTTATTTAAATCCACATCTCAAGAGCACAAGGATCAAACCCAGTAAACTATAAATTAGTATTTAAATTATAAATTTTTATTTTAAAAATCAGTATTAAACCAGTTCGTAAGTTAAACCAACAGGGTAAAAAAATGACACCATCCTAGATTAGTGAATGGCTTTCCTCACATGTTCATACTTACCTTTTCTCTTCGAGAGCAGCAATACTCTATCCAGTTCAAATATATCATACAGAAACTCTCTCTTGAGATCCCTGCTAGACGGTGGTCATAATCCTCATCAATATTGGGGTTAAATGTTGGGTCTACATCAACATAATTGCGGTCTGTGCACAACCGCAGTCCTTCCTGCATTGTCTCATTAGCTAACCATTCCTCTAGCTTGGGGGATGTTGTGACATAATAGATGATTCCCTGAAACAGTAGCAGTTAAAAGATTAGTCAATAAAAAAAGGTCAGCAATCGCAATCATTTCAACTCATTTGCATTATTTTCCTGGTAATGAGCAAACTGATACCCAGTAGCATTTATTTAGGCCACAGATACAACAAATTTACACAGAAAACACAACACAGGTTTGCATACAGGCATATTTTTCAAAGACTCTCAAGACTTCTGAAGCATGCACGGAAGGAATAAGGAAAGGAAAAAAGGATGGGACACGACTCACTGTAAACTTGCCGAAAAACAATAAATACATAGGAATTTTTATCTAGTTAACATGGAGGCTTAGATAATAAATTTCTAAAAGAAGTTGAATGCTAAATAAAAGACAAGACAGTTTAACACCCTTGTGTTTGGGGCAGGAGAGGAACACAACTTGTGTGTGTGAATATCTTGGAAGTATTTCAGCATGAAATTTTTCAGCTCTCTGATTCAGAGAGTAGCTTAAGAACTCGATCCATAAACTGATTATCTGAAGGGATCTGAAACCTAGAGTCCTCTTACAACTGCAGGGCAGGGCTTTTCGGGGCTTTTTTTGTGGTTGGTTGTTTTTGTGGGTTTTTTTTGTTTGTTTTGTTGTTGTGTTTTTTTTTTTTTTAAAAAAAAAGGAAAAACCCACACACCAAAACCAGAACAAAGATGGGTTTGGGGAGCTTTCAAAGCAGCTTAAGTTTCTCCAAGAGAAACACACTAGTTATTTAACCTTTCATTTACAACACAGCTATTACACTGGTTAACAGTTTTCAAGTTTCTACTCCAGCTTCAGCTAGAAAGTGTCCTCTCCTCGTTCCAGACTACAGCGTCATTGTCCTGCTCATGCACCAGAGTATTAAGTAGTCATCAGTACAGCAAACTGTCCTCCTTTGATGAAGGTTTTCATCCATCTATAATTTGTATCACATTCTATGATCATCATATAAAAGACAATAGACATTCAAGACATGAAGCAGCTCCCAGATGTAATCCAGCCTACCTCCTCCCAAGGGTTGTTCTGATCTGAATCATACCTTCACATAGTAAGTGGTGAGAATTTTCCGGAGATCAAAGACTTGAAGCATGGAAGCCGCACTGTTGTCAGTGATGCTATAACCCTCCAGAACATACTTTGTCACAAGCACTTCCCAAGCCAGCCAACGTTGCCCAAAGGCAGCATTAAAGGAAAGCATGTGAGGAAGGTGGCCTGGTTCACAGCAACAAAAACCTTCATCTTCCTCTACACCTTCAGTGATGGCCTCTACTTCTCGTTGCTGGCAATAAGTTCCTTAGGAGAAAACAGGAAAAACAAAGAAACAGTTGAACACTTTATATGATTGCTTTAATGTTGACTTGTGTTTAAAAGTGTTTAGAATCCAACGAATCTCCAATTACATTTCTGTAACACCAAGTAAACTATCTACCAATGAACACAAAAGATTCAGATAGCTTAATTTCTGACTCTAAGATCACATTTTAGTTAGGCATCTCTAAGAATCAATTATGGTAGCCATGTTGCCCTAAAACAGAAAGAGAGACTTGGCACCAACTCTGCTACAGCAAGCTAGTTTTCCCTCACAAGTGACAGGGCATAAAGAGGCCCTGCAGCTCATTTTCAAAGCAATTATTTTACAGAATGGAACTGAAAATAATTAAAAGTTTCCAAAGCAGAAATACACTTTTTAAGTACAGACAGGTAAGGAAGCATAACACACTCACCTCTGAATTCAAGCCCCCTCAGCTGGAAGGTGACCAAGCCATTTCCTATCTCTATAAGGTGTACTAGTGCATTGAGGTAGTCAGAGGCTAGGATGAAGCAGTCCCCAGTACTATAGTTTCCCCATCGACCCAACAACAAATCTCCACATAGGCTGTGCTGAAGGGAACGGGTTAAATGTTCATAGAAGATTGAATTCAGGTTGTTATCATCTGAACCTGCAGGAAGATTGGATTTGGGTTATTACTTGAATCTGCAGAAAAACATCAAGCTTCAATGTCAATTATCCCTTCACACTGAATCCTACATTTTTCTTAACAGCAACGTTGTTTCAAGGTCATTCTCCAGTCCCCCCCAAACCTTTTTTTAAGGGACAACCGCTCCAAATAAATGCTAGGTGACATTTAGTATTTTTGAACAAGTCTTTTGCAAATGAGCACAGAAGTATCTCAGTAATGACTGTTGTACTGGCCTCACTGCCATGACATTGAGACACCTTAAAATAACGTTTGACTTTTTTTGTCGAATTGAATTACTTAGGAAGAATAAAAAGCACAACAACTTAATGCGTACCATGATTATAAATAAAGAAGTAAAGCAGACACATATAAAGGTAAAGAGAAACTATAAAAACTTATAGGAGTCTAAAGAATAAAGCAAGAGAGATGATGGAGGACAAAAATAACAGCAGACAAAAGAGAAAGGTTGGGCAGGGTTGGAGATCAGAGGGCAAATCAATCACAAATCCTACAAAAATCATATAAGCGCCATTTACACTTGAAAAAACCACCACCACTATCCAAAAAAACCCACCACTATCCAAAACCCCACCAAAACCAAAAAACAACCACCCACTAAAAAGAAATAAATCCAAAACCAAACACAAACCCACCACAAAAAAACACTCAAAACCACCACACACACACAAAAAAACCCACCACCTCTCAAAAAAAAAAAAAACAACCAAACAAAACCCAAAACAAACCAATCCACCCAAACGAACCAAAAAGCACACCACAAAGCCCCCCAAACCCACCAAAATCAGACTAGGAAAGCTACCTGGATTTCGATCAAGCTGTGAAGCCAGTCTTGTATTTGAATGATCCACACGCTTTGTGCTGAAAATAATAAAATAAAGCATACTTAACAGTAAATTTACTAGTTTAAGAATATCTTCGGGAAGAAACTAACAATAAAATTGTTAAAAAATTTTCCCACTGACATAGTTTAAAAACTTATTTTAAAATAATTTTATATTTAAATTTGCTGTTCTTCTCATATGTAAAACTATTTTCTGCCTGTAATAGCATTATGATCCAATATCCAACAAAGTCTGTCCACAGTAGACAGCCATAGAATAATCTTTAGCTTTAGATAAGCATATATATTTTCTTCGATAGGTATCAAAGCTTCAGACGTGACAAACTTAAAAACAATTAAATTGGCACAGCTAACGTTCCAGTAGACTTCACTTTCTAAAACTGCCCTTTCAGTAATCTTTTGGCTGAAGTTAAATCTTTAACTTAAGATTTAGAACACTGTATTTAAACTGATCTAGTGTTAGAAGAAAAAAAGCAATTAAGTAGTGAAATGAAAAATTAATTAATCGTAAGTACCAGAACTATCTGTTCACCTTGCCCTATGTTGTTTATCTAACATTTCACTGGTCTGATACTCCACCAGCAGTGTCAGACTTCAGATAAATTAAACACAGGAAGGTATAATCTGACATGAAGAGCCTTTTACTACTGATTCCACCTTCATCAAAAAAGATTTACTTTAAAGATTTTTATATTGAAGTTTGCCAGTTTTAGCTGTGAAATGAGCCGTAACACGCACAGGTCAAATATCGGTATGAACTGCCCCCCGAAATCTTTTTGTGCATAAATTCACTTTCTGATTAAAACTGCACTTCACAATACTATAATTTTTGTATTTAATAAAATTACAAGGATGGCATGCCTCCAAGTAGAAATTACTTAAGAAGCTAAAGCAAATGTTGCTGGTATAAAAACCAGCTGCTACAGCATTTCAGAAACAAGTTCATTGAAAACTTTTAGTGCTATAAACTGTTTTTTCCAGGGAAAAAAAAATAGTTGCACTTGGAGGGGGAAAAAAACAACCAAACAAACAATAAAAAAATCAAACCAACACATTAAGCCATAGTTACATTATTAAAAAACAAAGGACACAAACTTTAAAGGTCTTATTTCACCTACTTGTAGTCTCTTTCCCAGAATTTGACAGGCCTGGCATATGAAGTGATGAATATTGCACTTCCCAGAAAAGGATTCAGTGGAGTAGAGAAGAAAGCTGACACAGCTGCTTGGACAAACAACATTGCAGAATCTACAGGACAACAGAATTAAGGAAAGCAAAGCAACAACTACTATTCCCCCCCCGCCCTCTCAAGCTTCTCTGATAGTACCTGAAATAGACAACAACACCAATTAAGAGCAAAACAAGATCTCTAAGAATTTTTATGCAGCAAAGTATCTTTACAGAGTTTCCATCAATAAGGGGATTATTTTTGTTTTTAAAAATAGAAATAGGTGACAATTTGGCACTAGATATGGTGGTCATTCTCTTTCTCAAAATTCTACGGATAATACTAACTCAACACTCCATCCAAACCAGTCTACAGAAGCTTAAAATGCAAAATTCAAGAACTAAAAGCATAGTTAGTGACTCTCGAAAAAAGGGGAATAACCATCAGAAGAAAAGCTGTGTCATTTTCAGAATGAAGTAACTCCTGCTCCATGTTTCTTTTATGACAGAATTCTATTCCTACTCTACCTGCTACTGTATAATTCGGAGCACTGTAGCACAGCAGAAAGTCTGCACAGTTTTTCATAAATACTCAGTACGCAAACCTGTTCATTCAGCAGATTTAGCCCATAATACATAATCCATTATAATGTAAGCCTCAGAAGTTACAAATACACGACTTCGGGAAAAAGTCTGCATTTTCAAAGGATACGTGGCACAGCAAAGGGCTGGGCAAAAGCATGGAAGGCAGATCCCCATGTGATCTGCCAAGGAGCAATGTAGGTATATACAAATCTCAATTTATAAAAGAGTTCCCAAAGCTACAAGAAAAAAAAAAAAAAGGAAAAAAATAAGAAAAATTTAGTGATTTAGCTAAAAAACAACATTTGCAGTACGCAAATATCATAAGGAATTTACTGGTCACCCTAGAATTCTTACTGGTCTACCAGAAGCCTTGAGACTTACAAGAAGGATGTAATAATGACGCAAGTAACATAATATGCACTTTATTGTTCTACTAACATAAACTCAAGAGATGTTTAGAAAGTTACATATGCTTTCTCAGGCAAACGTAAGTGCTTTGGGAAGGAAAAGCCTTCGCCATCTTACAGCATATTGATTACAGCACCAATAGGACTAATGATCTGGAAGATTACTTATCAGTTATGACTAGCTGTTTCCCCTTCTGGATGACCTGAAACACTAGAAATAGAGGGTTAAAGTTACCTTGCTGAAGAGTATGGACATGAAGAAGAGATCTAGCAGCATGGTCTCAGTAAAACTTTTGTAATCAAAAGTAAAGAAGAGCACTGTGAAAATAACAGTCACATACTGGCACGTTGGGCTACTGAATGATGAACGCAGTAACTTCAAGCCAGCTATTGTGATCATTAAAGCACCCAACCTGTGTAAGAAATTCACACAAAACAGTTACTTATCTGCTGTCCAAAAGGGGTTTAAAGACCACCTAAATCAATGCTATCATGCAATGACCATCTCTTCAACTCAAGGTTTAGATTTGGCTCTGCTTTTAGAGTTTAGGGGAGGTGGGAGGTTTGACTTGTTGATTTATTTTTTTAAGACAATCTATATTTAAGACCACTTCAGCTTTTTTTTTTTTTAAAGGTTACTATCCAAGTTATTCTATCAGCATTCTCAAGCCAACCAATGTTCAAAGACTAGCATTAAGAGTCTTGCTAAAAAAAAAAAACAACCAACAAAAAACCAAAATCAAAACCTCAGAGGTGAAATATCCTTGTACTCTGAACAAGAAACCTGGTCTTTAATTTAGGTTATGAATTTTGAGATGCAAAAATACTAGAAGTGCTCTAGATTAATCAGCAAGAGGATGTTAATAAACACTGGATTATCATTATTTCCTGCATGACTATACTGCTCTAGCTTATATTGTGAGAATTCTAACAATGATAAACTTACAGCAATATCCTTTTTCAGAGATAGCTACTGACAGATCAAAGAGTTACAAAAACAATGTTAAAGTAACATAATGGCAATATTCCTCTGACAGGTCTTGTAGTGTCAAGAGTAATGAACCCAAAGCAAGAACTTACTAGATCCAAGGATTTATTCAACTTTACAAAGACAACAAACCACCTCTATTAAAAAAAAAAAAAAAATATTCCCAACACACCCTCCCCCAAATACATATTCCATTTTGTTTCAAGATTTATTTTCTCTAAACACTTCTGTTCTAAATCAATAGAACTTCAAATCCAAAAAAGCCACCTTGTCTCACTGTTCTTGGAGGTGAAAAAACACAGGGTCTATTATTGAACTCTCATTTGCTAAGACAGTCAGACACACTGCTTGAGGGATTGTAACTAAGGCCCAATTTAAGAGGCAGTGTGCAATTCCATCTGGATAGAGATTATACTTAAGGGCTGGGTGGCCTAGGGAATTCTTTTATGAGGGCAGAAAGTTGTAGAGGGGCTGCAGGCTGGCACATCAACTCAGGGAACACAATACAAGTCTTAAGTTTACACCTGACAAAATACCAGAACATACTGTCATTATCTTCAACTTGCAGTCTGGACAATCACATTATAGACTCTGAACAAGGAAATTCCAATATCACGCTACTAGATAATCCTGCAATCTGCAATCATTATCTTATATGCTATGAATGGAATGATTTATCTTTGTGTGGCTTCCTAGTTTAACACTGTAATACTCCATTCAGTTTAAGTCAGCAAGGTGACTTGGTTCTATAAGAGCTTTCAAATACAGAAAAACTTTATTTATTCCTTGTCTTAATTTGAAGGTAATAGGATTAACTGTCTTCCCATCAAGGCCAGAACTCACTAAATTTCCATTTACTACAGTAGACATACTCAGATTACTTGATAGCCTTTTCTACTTACTCAGTATCCAGTTTCTTTGGACTAGCAATATTCTTAGCGCTGCTGCTAAGCTCATTGAGGACTATCAGTGGATAGATAACATTCTTCTCTACAAAAAGGAGCCAAATGTGAAGCTTCTCAAACCACATAACATGTGCAGCATCTATCAAGACAGATTAAAAAGAAGAAATCAGATTGCAATGTCAAATCAAACTCAGCTAACAGAATAAAGATTCTTGATCCAAGTAACTTGTGGAGTCAAACACCAACTGTATTCTCACACTTGACTTCGACAGTTTTATCTGACTGATATAAAGAGAAGCCTCTTCTAAGCTACTGTTGGTAGCCCCAGTAGCATTGTTGCAGTTACACATCTACAAAATGCATTACAATGTAACCGTTTGAAAGCTACCTGCTTCCTGCACATGGCAGGAAACAAACTGGGTTGCCACCTCTTCAATAATTTCAACATTGATACTGACGAAGCTGTTAGACATTACACATTTTATTTCATACAAAAGGATGTTTTCCAACCATATTTGAACCGAAAGATTTCTGGTTTATGCCACCACAATGTGGAACAGCATATGGAATCTGCCAACACAAATGTCTGAGACTTAAGAACTTCTTTTAAACTCCTATAACAATTGCAAAAAAACATGACAGGACTGCTATTTCAATTAAATGCAAATAAAGATAATGAAAACATTTATTTTACAAGGCAGTACAAATATAGGCTGGAAAAGCCTATGTCAAGAGTTATGTTAAACATTGCTGCTTTAACATATAAAGGGTTAAAGGTATACTTGAAAGAGGCTAGAAAAAGGCCCACCCCTCTTCATTGCTATGACTGTCTGCACATGCCTACATGAGCTTTAGCAAAAACTGAAGTTTCTTTTCTACAACAGAGGCCATAAGGACAACTATTCGTTGACATGGCATGATTTCTCAAGTTACAAGGACCAAACTGGGAGATGATACAAACTTATATTTAACATTACCGGATATGACTTTCACCTTTCCTGAAAACAGTACTACATATGGAAATCTGAAGTCAAGTATCAGCAAAAGGGCACCAGCTGTAGCTTCGCTAGTTTCGCAGATCAAAAATCTAAGGCACACAATTACACTTTTCACTTTTTCCTCCAAATTGAGTTTGGCATCATGTTACAATTACTATACGTATTTATCCATCCTTACACTCAATCACTGAAAAAAGTCCACAATTTAGACATTAGTGAAAAGACCACACTCCACAGCTGCTACAAAGGTAGCAAGTTTGCAAATCAGTGTTGATAATTGTCTGCTCCCGAAAGCAGCAGAATGCTCACTACTGTCATCCTTTCATTACTGTCTTATCTTGAAAACTAATTGAAGAGAAAAAACAAAAATAGCTTCAGTTGTTTCTGGAAATTTCTAACTAAAAATGGCTTAAATCTGCTGTTAACAATAAAAACATTCCAACAATGGAGACCTCACAATCTACTGCTACATCTATTAATACCAGAAAACTCATCAGCAGTATGACTAACTTCATATTTTCTGCAGCCTCCAGGGAAAGATCTCATGGAAATGCAGACTTTAAGACAAGGTACAAGTATATGTCCACACAGATCAAACAGCAAGACTGCTCCCTTAGTGTGCCTTTCCTTTAGCAGGCCACTTGTACTACCTTCTGCTGTTAAACACGTCAACAGTACCATTAACAATCCAACCCATATCAAGATGAAGTCTCTGACAGCATTCACCACACCTAATCCTCTAAAACATTTTAAAACTTACTATCTGGAAGAAATACCTAGTGAAACATACTCTACCTTTATAAAAAATTATTAAGGCAACCATTAGCACACAATATTTTGAAGACTGTGTTTTAATGGAACTGCTCTGAGATAATATTATCACATGTAATACATTGTCATCATCAGTTAAGAGATACATGAAATGTCATGAAATCAAAGCATGAGAAACTGAGAAACTAAGACATTTCTAGATAAGATGTCATTAAATACTCCAGTGGCGAGAATAATAAAGAGGAGAGATTAAGCCTATCAAGAGGTAACAAGTTAGTCAGTAACTACAGCAATTTCAAAATGCATCACAAGTGATACTTACTTCGGACTTCAAACTGATAATATTCCTTGGTTTTCAGCAGCGGGTGAGAAAAGCAATGCCAAGGAAGTTGCTTTCGGAGTTGAGGCAGAACATAATGGGTCACAAAGCCTACCGTACCCACCAATGCATAGAGAACATAACTTAAAATAGGCTAAAAAGAAGAATGGAAGAAATTAAGGTTTGCATTTTATAAACAAAATCATACACCAATAATATAATATCTTTTCCAGCATCTAGGCAGGTGCTCCTGTAACAGTAAGTTGGGAATGTGTTTCTTCATGAGAAGCTGTACTACCAACTTTAAGATGAAACAAGAAATGCCTGTGAGAGAATAAACCACCTATTTCTAACAAATTTTCACTAAGTTGAGAAGTATTTTAAAGTACAAGTAGCACACCAATTTTCCTTCATAGTTCATTGCTTCTGACTCATTTCATCTTATAAAAGATAAAGCTGTTTTTCTCTAAAGGCTGAACCCAATTTACATGTTCCATCTGCTTGATAAAAGAAGGTATAAGCATAAGGAAAAACAAATCACTGATCTTGTATTCTCTTGAGAAGAGAGTGAATAAGCAGCCTCCCACCAAGATCAAACTCTTTCACAGAAGTCACAAAATACTACTATGCTAACATGGTACAAAGGCTGGATTTCATAATAATGCTTTCTATACACTAAAATTTTCTCTAGATATATTATAGCAAAATTAGGATTGCACTACCTTGCTATGTGCTCTTGATTCAGAGATTCTGTGATGCCTAAGCCTATTGAACTATACAACTGGTGAAGAGCACATAGCTGAGTTTCTCAAAAGTGGGAGAAAGCAACATTTGGGAGGAATGCTGAAGCCCAGCCGTATAAGAGAAGAGGTATTCCTTAGAAAAAACTAGTACACCTGCTTAAGTAGTACACCTCACCTGAAAACCTGAAGCTACCTAAATGCATATGCTTTTTAAAATTAGTTTCTTACTGTAACTATAGGCAGCAGCAGGAGGGTAAAATCCTTCTAAAATAGACGCAAGAAACATTCATTTGCCTGCCATAAGGCTGCTCATAAGCTAACCAATGGTTCCATTACAGGAATACCAAAATAAGAGATTCAGTAACTGAAACTTTTTAGGCAAATGCCTTTACTTAAAATCATTCAGGCACAGGATCTGGTCTCATGTCATCATCATCAAGTAGGAGTCATATACACACACATTAAAAGTATCCGAAGCAGTAATATTACCTAGACTGACAAGTAAACAACTTGAAACTCAAAGGCTCTTTCAAGTCCTGTAAATAACCATCCCAGTAAAGGAGTACTTCCCTATACTATAGTTTACGAAAAGCCACGCTAGCATGCAGTTGCTGAGTCAAAGTTCAGCCCCTCGATCTTAAAAAAAAAAAAAGGTTTTATTCTTAATTTTTAAAAAGTTTCATTTTTCCTTACTCTAAAACGATTCTGACACTATTTAACTGAGATAGATGAAAAAAAAGAGGGCATTTTGTGTCAGAGATGAAAATAAAAATCCAGAATGTAAGAAACTAGGAAAGAGTAGGGGAAGAAGAGTTTTTAAGCACATAAAACTGGAATGTGGAGATGTTCAGTTATGTACTTGTCACACCATGTATTTAAAGACCGTCTAAAACTAGTCAGGAGACCCGGTACACTATCAGAATAAGCGTTCTATCCCATTAGAGAGTGTGTGTGTGTGTGTATATATATATATGACAAACAGCAGACATGATTGAACATCTTACCTGTAAAACTGTAAATACTGTACTGACGTGAATTGCAAAATAGAGTACACCAATGACTATACACACAATCAGGTCAGACTGCAATCGCTCACTCTGGGGAGAGAGTCAAAAAGTAATTTTAGAAAATACCAGCTTTGGTTGTCCTCTTCAGAGCCTTAATGCCCAGGAGCAGTAACACTCAAACTGATTAAAGATTTTCAAACTATACTAGCGTTAATTACTTTCATTGAAAACAAATATTACAGCTAAGAGCATTAGTTCAAATGAGTCAAGTGGAAAGATGCATACCCAAAGTGGGGCAGAAGAAATTAATATACCAAATACATTCTCTCTTTCACTCCGGACTGTGAGGAGGTATAAGGACTCCCCTGCAGCACCAATGAAAGAGCTGGATGGGCTAAAAAAGTTTCCCATTTATGATCTAAGAATTGCTTAGATTATGGGGCAATTAGGAGCTCCAGGAGAAAGCTGACAGCTGTTTAAGCACAGAAACAACAACCAGGTGGAACAACTAGGCTCTTTAGTCCTTTTCCCCCCTCCTTTGTAGAACAGTAAAGGATAGCTTTGGAATGACCCTGAGGACAAGTCCAAATTTACCATTACCCCTAAAAAAAAAAAATCAAGACAAGCTGTTGATAACAGGCAAAAAAAAACCCCAAATCAGTAATGTCAAGACTCAGTCACAAGGGGGCAATACGTACTTAGGGCCACTCTAACTCAGCATCTCCAAGTTTAGACCTTTTCCCACTCTGTAAATACAGTATTAATATTTTCAGCCTGAAAATCATTAACAGATTAACTACTCCAAAAATCAGCCAAATAATTACATACAGAAATTAGTGCTGCAAGGTCTTAACTTCTTGAGATACAACTAATGTTTTTTTTTTAAATCAGTACGTCATGATTTAAAAAACACTGAAAGAAAAAATATATGATTCCTCAGCTCCCCTGCACCCTTGGTGACCAACAACACAGTTTGAGAGCTCAAGAGGAGCTTGCAGTTCCTCAGGTCACTCCCTCCTGTTAAGCATTAAAAAGCACTGCAGTTTCGGTGCTCTAAATATTTATTTGCAGTTTCCACACACTGTATCTTGTCACATTTCTGCCTGCTGTACTAAGAGAATCTAACCTGTTATTCCCCTACCGCCAAGCCCTATACAGGGTTAAATGAATTTCCAACCTTCTTTGTACAAGTTAAACATACTAAGCTTCTGAAGTCTTTTACTTACTGCTCTACTGTCTGAAAAACAATCTAATGTTTAAATATTACTACTTTCATAAACACGTAGAGTGAATTTGTACTAAAAATCCAAAGCATGTGCTAAAGTAAAAGACATAGGTTACATATGCTCTTTAAAGAAAAAAAAAAATCCACAAAAAAAAAATCACTTTCCATTTTTATTTTCTACTTCTGGAACAGTGTGCACAAAAGCTCTTGCTCACAATTACTAGAAATACTGAGTTTATGTAGTTTTGCCACCATT